TTAAAATGTGGTATTATTATTTGTGCGGTAAGATTAATTACTGCATAAATTAATTAAGATTATTAAGTAATAAATTCATTTTAAGATAGCATGGAATAGATTATATAATATGCTGTTATAATCAATTGGATACATAAAACCTGTTTTTTTAAAATCCATTCCATCATTTGTTTATTCAGGTTGAGCTTAGACCGAGAGCAGAGGATAACATCCACTCCAGCTCAACTTTAAATTACTTTAAGCGCCCCAAGTCAGACAGTCACAGCCTAGAGGTTTTTTTTTTCATACCACCCTCAGAAGAAGACAAAATACCTGACAGTACAGAGAGTGTTTAAACACAAAGATGGCACAGACAGAAAATGGCTTACATACTGTAAAGAGAACCATACCCTGCATTGTGCAGTATGTTTAGCATTTGCCAAACCAACTGAAACCAATCCCTTCATAAGTGGAATGCAGGACTGGAACCATATCAGTCAAAGAGTTGAGGAACATGAAAGGAGCAACATGCACAGAGGTTGTGCTGAGGCATATTTTTTGAGGGCATCTAAATCAGATATAGCCAGCCTGCTACATGGTCCCCAAATTGTGGCTCACAGAGATCAAGTGAGCCACAATTTGCCGTCTCGGCAGGTGTTGGAACGAGTAGTAGTAAGTAAGTTCATAGGAAAGAGAGGACTGAGCTACAGAGGACAGCAATCTGAGGCAGCGTACCCTCTAGATGACCACAACATTGACCACGGCAACTTTCTAGAGCTCATCATTCTACTGGGGAAATATGATGTATGTCTGAAGGAACATCTCACTGAGTGCATAGAAAAAAGTAAAAAGATGCACCAGTCACAGGCTAGGGGTCGCGGTGCTGCTGTAACATTTTTATCCAAAACCACTGTGAACACTATCATTTCTACAGTGAAGTGGCTAATTCAGGAGACCATTGCAAAAGAGGTTGCTGAAAGTGTGATATTCTCTGTGCAGATAGATACAACCCAGGACATTACATCCCATGAGCAGTGCTCTGTAATTCTGAGATATGTTACAGATGCAATTCAGGAAAGGATTCTTGCAGTGGTTAAGTGTGAGGCATCCACTGGCCAATATTTTGTCCAGATGCTGACAGATGTGATGGAACGTTTTAATCTGGACATCAGTAACTGTGTCAGTAATGCTACAGATGGTGCATCAAACATGCAAGGCCAGTACAGAGGCTTCTCCACACTCCTGTCATCCAAAGCCCCAAACCAGGTACATGTTTGGTGTTATGCACATGTGCTGAACCTAGTTCTGGCTGACACAACTGAAGTGGCCATATCCAGTGGGTCCCTCTTCTCCCTTATGAATGACATTGCTGTGTTCATTCGTGAATCGTATCAAAGGATGAACGTGTGGGAACAAAGAAGCCAGGACACTTGACACAGACGTCTCTCTACTATCGGAGAGACAAGATGGTGGGCCAAAGATGTAGCCTTGAAGAGGATCTTTGGGTCATTTGGAAAACCAGACCAGGCTTTATA